TCATAATTCCACCAATTCCAAACCTTCAGTTGCCCCGATCTGCAAAGATTTTAATTCCACCAATTAACAAGTTAAGAATTGGATGTTCCCAAGAATGGCAATAGATATAAGGCAGTACTACATTTCATCACTTTTACATATGAGGAATTTGAAATATTTATGGTGACGTGTGTGAAACTCCTCAAACGTTAAGACTAGGACTACAAGTTCTCTCCAACTTGAGTATGAGAAGTAATTAGAAAAATACTCTTCAAGATATTCTAGAAACACATTGTGCCTTTCATGTTCTTGTCATATCATTTGATATTTTAAATTTCATAGTTTGCTTCAGGTGGCCAACTGACATCAATTCGAAATTTACAATAATATCATGATTCAATATTAGATTCCACAGGAAAATACAGACCACTTTGATGGGCATTTAAGACTCGAAGATCGGCTAGTAGGAAAATGTATGAGTAGCAACTTATTCAAAAGCTACAGTAAGATTTGCTTTTAAACAAGAATTTAACTCTGAAGTGAAAAAGCAAAATAGACCACATAATCCACATTAACAAATCATGGCATTTAATCTCAGAGTAATCAACTTTCTTAAATTTACTGCTAAAATCTGCAAAGCAAAAGGATGTCGTATTTAATTATAATACCAATCAGCTCATGAAACCAAAAAGTCTTACAATCAGTATATATGAATCAAATACATGCTATTCTTACTGAAAAATTCAAGTATATGCTATGAACTAAAAGTTTTTCCAACCTTTTCGTAACTGAACTTCAGATTTTCCAAATTATCCATCTTTTGAAAATATGATACATCACCAAATGCATTGAGAATGTCCATGTAATAAAAAATCCCAGATGTTAATCAAAGAAATTATACCTCCCTGGTGAACCAACACCAACTAGAGTACAGACATTAAGTTGTTGAAACCATCAAGACAGTGTTCTAGTTGGGTCACGACAGGCATTCCCATGCTTTATACACTCCATCAAAAACATAGAATCCGCTAACAGAAAACATCAAGATATCAATTTGAGAAATTAATTCAGAATGCCAAATTTCTTTCCCCAAATGCCTTTGAATACCTTCATTTCTAGCATCTTGAATTACCCATTGTTGATGTAAAAGACAGTAGATATTATTCAACATTTGAGTAAATATTTTCAAAGACACAACCTAAAATAAAAACCTTTGTGTATCACAAGCATGATACACCATACATATATACATATGGGCATTTGTAAATCTTACATATGTACTAGTATGCATCACATGCATGATACATCAGACATATACATACAGGCATTCGAATCAAACCCATGAACTGCAATTATTGGAACAGGAAAATACATTCCATTCCCTTCAAAATTTTAAAAATTAACAGCGAAGCTATAGAGAGCAAACTTGATAGTTGTATGACATACTTCAGAATTAAAACTTTCAGTTCTAAAATTATAGCTAAAATAAAATATTGGGTTTCTTTTGTAAATGCGAATTTCGTACCTATTTGGGTTTCTTGAGCCAGCTTGTCGCCATGAGAGAGAGAGGGACGATGGTGTTATGATAGTTCTGGCACACCCATGAACGAAGCATTCAAAGGGTTTATTGAGGGGATAGTGAACTCTAATATTTGCAGGGCAAGGTTGATCATTTGCCTCGTAAACTCTATTTTGGAAGGAAAGAAAAAGAGAGGGAAAACGAAAGGTAATTAGAAGATAAAGGAGAAGAGAGAGGAAAAGGGAGGCAAAATTCTTTCCACTCACCATATTCTCTCTCCCAAGGTGAAAAGAAATTGAGGGTCGAAAAGACCTTTTCCACTTTTTAAAGGTTTTTGCCGTTCAATAAATAGGTAGACGATAATTTAAAGGATTACTTAAAGATTTCGTTTTTAAAAAATATGGTTTAAAGAAAAACCTAAAATAGTATCTCACAATGTTTAACCTTTTTATTCATGTTGTTATTATTATTTTTTTAATTTCAGAAAACATTATTTAAATGAATGTGTTATGGTAGGTATCTTGAATTTTTCATCCCTTTTATTTTTACAGTCATCATTTCGAATGATCTGAAGTGAATAAATTTGTAAAATCATCTTCAATGTCCTTCTTCTTGATGTTGTTTATAGGAAATTAGGGTCAATATTACCGAAGTATTAAGTAACAAAATGAAACTTTATTTCCGCTATAAGGACTCAAACCTAGAACTTCCTAACCCAGTTAAATATCCATTGGTATGTTGTCTACAGGAAATTTGATGTTATTAAATTTCATTCCAAAAATATATAAACTATTTGCTGAAAATTCATTCATAAACCCAACTGGTCCAGTATAGATTTTTAGGTCCATTTGATGCAATTTCTTGGGGAGGGAGGAAAAAAAAAAAGAAAATAAGGACTTTAATATATGTTATTGGAGAGGGGAAAAAAAATCAAATAGTTTATAAATTTTATTAATTTTTATTTTATTTGGATAACAAGAAGTGTAAAAAACAAACACACACACATTGATAAACTTTTTAAAAATTTGGTAAAGATAATAGAGGGACCGAAAAAAAGAAGAAGAAGAAGACTAGAAAAACAAAAACATACTCACACCCATTTACTATATTTTGAACCCAATGGAGTATTTTATTAATATTATTATTTTCAAATTACACTAAATTACTATTTGACATGTTAAAAAGCCTCCTCCTTTTTTTTTTTCTTTTTTTTTTTTTTTCAACTTGACAAGAAACACCACTCACAAGTCCCTTCACTTGACCTCTTCTACAACTTTATTTATTTCTTTATTTTACCGACCAACATCCAAACCATGAAAACAGTTTTAATGTGAGCTCGAACTTGAAATCTTCGGTCTGAACTTTTGTCCCTTTTTTTATATTAAGTGAGATTTACAAGTACTAAAAAAAAATGTGTATACCATAAAGATCACATCAAACTATGGGCTAATTTAGTGCCCATCAAAAAGGAGCATTCTACTCCCTGAGAGGTTATGCATTCAGTTGTTTTTGCTATTTCATCTAGTTCAACTTCAATCAGTTCTGAGAGGTTATATTACGTCTTAAATTGACTCCAATTTTTTTATTTTTTTTTTCCTTTATTTATTTATTTATTTTTTTTTTGTCTTGAAAAATAGTTCTAACTCATTTTGTCTTCATGCAAACTTGAACTCTCATAAGAACTATAAAAAACAAATATTAAACTCGAAGTCTTCTGCAATTTAGCTAAGAATGTGTAGAAAATAAGTCACAGAGAAGAGGGAATATACAACAGAGGGCAAAGCCCAACAAGCCCGAAGGCAAAACATGGCCTAAACAAAAGCCCAAACCAAAGTTCAAACAAAACAGAGCCCATCCAAACCAATATGATTTTTGGAAATATAAAATTGTTTTTAAAATTAGGAACAAAGTCTTTAATTTCTCCTATTGAAGGGGGCAAGACTCTGCTGATAATAAAACGTACCATGTACATATAATTCTGAAGATTTGGTTTCATTAATAAGTCACATGACTAGACAATTAAGATTTGGTTTCATATAATTATGAAGATTTGGTTTCATTAATATAATTATTAAGATTTGGTTTTATTAATAAAGTAATAGCAAAAGCATGATTGTCACATAAGTTTATTTAATTTGGACCAACATCAATATCCACCAATACATATAAATGATGGTTTAATTGAGAGAGCTAACCAAGACACTAATCAACCCCACCATGTTCTTCAAAAGGAGTTTTAGGTCACGGGGGACAGTGACCTATAGCAAGTGTACGTACGTGTTAGACAAACTACCCTGCATTTTAGACACTGTATTAATTAGTGTTTAAAGCATCAGTTAGAAGATCTTTAGGTTATGTTTGTTAGGTGGGAAGGAGGAGAATGAGGGATGGAGCAAAACTTTACCGTTTGGTGCAAGGAAAAGTTGGAGGGAAGGGAATGATGGATAAATGGATAGGTAATAGATTAAGCATTACCAATATCACCTCCTATTCGGGGTTGATCTTATGCATTGAAAATGTATCGTTTTGGTGCATAGACACGAAGCTTAACACCATTGATCCCCGTACGTGTTGGAACTCTGCGTGGCATTGGATCCCTTATACACGGGAGGAAAAAATTCTAGAATACCCCGAGATACCGTATATACCCTTAGATTTTTCAGCCGTTAGATGTGATAATGGGGCCTACCTAATGGAATGATCCAGTGGCTGGAAAACTTGGGATACGGTACCCCTGCATGGGGTATTGTATAACTTCTTGCACGGGAGGGGATCTGAGTTCCTGGCCCATCATTTTGCATGCCTCTAAAATTTGATAGAAGAGAGGACGGAAGATAAACATAAATATCGTATAATATGTAAAGGGATGTTATTATATGCTCCACTAATTTTTGTAAAATTATACAAGGAGGGTATTATGGTGAAAAAAATTATATAAAGTCCCCCATTCTCTTTCATGTTACCAAATAATAGATAGCGACACCTCATTCTTTTACATATACCACCCACTCAATAAAACAAAAGTAGAGAAAAACACCTCCATTTTTCTAAAAATGTCTCATCCATCCGAAATTGAAAATGATCCATTATACTTTAGAAGATTTTTCTGATTCAGATAACATGGTCCCGATTAACCATCACATGACACATCAGCAAAAAACTAAATAAAGCTTACACCATTTTGACAAATTTGCTGATATGTCAAGTGTTGATTGGACCGGACCATTTAGTAATTTCTCATAAGACATGAGATAAAAGGAGTTTAACCAAAGTTCCATTTTTATTAGGCTTGGATTTATTTGGATTATCATGGCTTACATTAATGAACGCTAAGATTCCATATTGAATACGGAATCACATATCCCATATAAATTCCACTGCATTTTGGGCTTGCATATTCCACGAGCCAGCACGCAAGCTCATGTGGGCTAGCCCAATTAGCACGAGACCGCTTTGGCACATTTGGCCATTTGGGCTCGCGGAAATAGGCTTTCCAGAGCCCGCTGCTGATGCTCTCACACATATCACAGACCATCTATCTCGCCTTCTTCTCTTCATCTCTTCCCATCGAACTCCAAATCAATCCAGTGGCAAGTGTAGTTCATTCGAAGAAGCCGGTTCTCTCTGATCTGCTTCTTCAAGTTCAGGTAATTAATCATAATTTCGATCCGTTTGGGGATCCAATTTCACTCTGATCTGATTATTTCATGTTTTCCTTCGTTTCAGATTGGGGTTTGTGTAATAAATTCCATTTGTTGATGAATCGTGCCGATTGGGTATGCAGTTTATGGGTTTTTTTTTTTTTTCTTCTTCTCGAAGTTAAAATTAGGAATAGAGTTCTGTTGTGCTTTGGTTATGGTGAAAGTTCAGAATTTTGAGTTTAGAATGAAAGTTTTTTAGTTTTTCAAATTTTTTTTTTCCTTACTTAGTTTTTCTATTTGTTACAATTACTTCATTTTTAACTTTTATTCAGAATTTTTCTTTGGGCACATTATTATTATTATTATTATTTCTTTGTTTATTCTTTTGTTGATTAATCGAGCCGATTGTGTATCCAATTTATGGATGAAATTTGTTATTTTATTTTATTTTTTTTTTGTTGGTTTTTTATTTTTGTAAAAATTCAGAATTTTCAGTTTAGTTAATAATGAAACTTTTTTAGTCTTTATAGTTGTTACAATTACTTCATTTTTTTTATTCAGAATTTTTATGTCAGTAACATTATCTTTGATTTTAGAGTCTTCTTCTTTGTTTATTAATCTCCTTTTTCTGATGAATCCTGCCGAATATAGGTATACAATTTATGGGTAAAAGTCTGTTCTTTTTGAGGTTTTCTTTTTTCGTTATTCTCTGCAAGAATAGAGTTGTGTTTTGGTTTTGGTAAAAAAAAATTAGTTTTTCTATTTGTTACAATTACTTCTTTTGCTATTTTTATTCAGAATTTTATGTCAGTCACGTTATCTTTCTTTGTGTGTTTTTGATTTTAATTTCATTTTCTTTGTTTATTAATGGCCTTTTGTTGATGAATGCCAAAAATTTTTGTACTCTTCTTATGGAGATGTTAACAATGCCAAATGGTTATCGTTTTTTTGGAGTTGTACTCATCTGCTTATGGATTTGTGCTTAAACATGTTTATAATCGGACTGGTATGGCATTGAATATGTTTCAAGGTGGCTTATCTAGTGCTTCTATTTTTGCAGGTTACAAATTATGCAGTGTCAAGTATAGCAGCAGCAACTACACCATCCACAGTCCAGTAGAGCATCAGCAAGTGAAGGGGTATTTGGGATTAAGGTAACATGTTTTTCTGTTTTTGGTGGAAGATCTATATGGAAATAGGCATACTTTTTGGGACAAGTTTTTTTGTGATGCCATATGTGACACAGACAACACAGTTGGGTTATTTTTTGTTAGTTGGGGGACACTTGGTTGTTGGATGGTTGATGTTTGGGCTGTTGCACAGTTGGTTTCTAATTGTGCAGTTGATTTTTGTTTGCACTCTTGATTATTTGCACATGCATAGTTGCTAACTGCACAGTGACAATTCAGGTGTTGAGAGGGAGAGAACTGGAAGGGGAAAATGAGGAAAGAAAATGAGATGGAAGAGTAGAGTGACAATTCGATTGGGTCCTCAACCATAGACACAGTTCAGAATGGCTCTGAGGAAGAACAGAGAATGGCAAAACTTCTTGATCAGAGGACTGATGGGGTGTTCTCGATCCTACAGTTGGGATTCGAAGGTGGATCTGAAGAAGCTCCGTCCGATGATTCTGAAGAGGATTGAGGATAGGGCCAAGGACTATCCGGTAAAAGCCATGGTTCCTGTCGCCCTAGACGTCCTCAAGGCCAGAACCCTCCTCATTCGAGGCGTCTCCACCCTTCTCAAAGGCTTCCCAATCTGGGCCTGCAGGTATTGCCTCTCTCTCTATATATATGTATATATATATATCTGCGCGCGCGCGCGCACATTCAAATCCACGTTTTATATTCTCACACATCTAGTAGGTACTTGGTGTCCTGTATTGGGGATAATCAATACAAAATTTGGGTATATATATTTCATTATGCTAAAGTTTTTACCTGAATTTTACCTAGCGTGATCTTCGGATCAATGATAATTAATTTTTACACAAAGAACTAAAGCCTCAATCTTCAAGTCACTAACTACTATAGATTATTAGCAAAATTAGTAATAAATATAGTTACCACAACTAATTCAATCCTATGGAGGATTATTATTGTAAAAGCTATAATTCGCCACATTACCATTCTTTCAGGGAAATCTTGTTTCATATTGTTACTATTCGAAAATCTATCACACTCACACACGTTTATCTCCTTAATTCTCTTCATATGAGTGATTACTCTGAGGTTCTAACGAACATGACTTTGCTACTGGTATTTCTTATAACAGTTAGCGAGTCTGACATCAGTTCAGTTTCACTTAAATCAACTTGGTTCCTTCAAAATGTCACATATTTCTTTTTATGTCTTCTTCAAGTACTAATTTTTCATAAAAAGAAGAATGTATTAATAGTTTTTAGGAAGAAAATTTAATTTTACTTGGCATTGTTTCTTTGCAGATTTTGTCCAGAAGTATATATTGGCGAGGAAGGCCATTTAATTAAGACATGTGGTGGTTACAAGCGTCGTTCCAAGAACCACATTCATGAATGGATCAGTGGTAGCTTGAATGATGTGCTCGTACCTGTAGAAACATTTCACCTTGATAACATGTTCCAAGGAGTAATCAAACACAACCAAAGATTTGATTTTGACCGTGTACCTGCTGTAGTTGAGCTTTGCTGGCAGGCAGGGGCTGATCAGTATGCTGAAAGTCTATGCTCTAGTAGTTGGAATTCAGATAATATTGTGGGTGATGTTACTGGTGCAGAGTCTTTGTCACCTGATGATCTTAGGTTGATAGCAAATGGAACTTTGAGGGCATGGGAGACAGTTAGATCTGGGGTGCAAAAGTTATTGTTGGCTTATCCAGCAAAGGTTTGTAAATATTGTTCTGAAGTTCATGTGGGGCCATCTGGGCACAAAGCTCGGCTTTGTGGGGTGTTTAAGTATGAGAGTTGGCGAGGCAACCACTTCTGGAAGAAGGCAGAGGTGGATGATTTGGTGCCTCCGAAGGTTGTGTGGTGCCGGCGGCCTCAGGATCCTTTGGTTCTTGTAAATGAAGGGCGGGATTTTTATGGGCATGCCCCTGCTGTGGTCGATCTGTGCACGAAGTTTGGTGTTGTTGCACCATCAAAGTATGCTTGCATGATGAAAGTGATGGGTTTATCAGCACCACCAGTATGAGTCAAAAAAATTTATACTCTGTTCGTTGCATTTTCAGTGGGGTTGCTTCAAGACAATTCAATTTCAATCCAGAATGTTCCAGTGAAGTCTTGCAGTTTTCATTTTCAAGCTGGGTTCTAATCAACTCTCTTGTTCATATGGCTGAAGGTTTTCTGGTACGTCTCACTCATTGGTGCATTAGCTCTGCATTTAGCCAGAAAGTATGTTAGTAGACTCGGGTGTTCAGTTTAGATCTCTCTCTCTCTCTCTCTATGGTAATTTAGGTTTTCTAAATCCCATCTGTATGCATTTTTTCTTTATCTCTTTCTTCCAGCACCTTTATAGAAGGAACATACACTAGATAAGCAGATATTGTCCATCTCTTAGGGCTTGTTTGGAAAGTGTTACGATATTATTTTTCTGATATTGGTATTCAAATTTGAGCCCATGTCATGTTTGAAACATTGATATTGGTTTTAGATTCTTCAGGATAGTTCATAGCATATTAGATTTTTTGGTCAAAATCCATATCACCGAGTTGGTAATATTGTGTGTTTTGGTACCGTAGCGGAAGAATTAAAGCAAATTTTCAAAAACAAATTTTCATTACCAAACATGGTTTCGATTTCTACCAAAAACACTTCTACAGCAAAACGGTTGTTTTGATATTAATAAAAAACATAATGCCTAAAACACATCGCATGCAAACGGGACTTGGCAGTTCTTGCTATATTAATTTCTGTTGCATATTTGTTTCTTTTAAAATATCATTCATTTTTTTTTTTTTTTGACATCTTCTTCCCATCACAAAATTTGCTTAGATAATGGCCTTTTTCAAGAACCATCTTTTCATATTCTTTTTTATTCTCTTTGGCAAGGAATTGTGTAGTACTTGGATAAAACTCAAAAACAATATATATGAGGTTAAAAGAAAGGCATTCCTTCCTGCTACAAGATAACGTAATAAGTGAATCTAGTACAATATTCCTTTACACTATTTACTTTAAAATATAAACTTACATCTCAATAAATTTAGGGCTTGCTTGGTTAAGTTAAAACTTAAAAGATTCGAAAATTCAAATGTGAATAGAAAATAAAAATAAATGTTGGACCTATATGATTCATTCCAAAAATGGGCCCCTCGTTCTTTTTAACCTTTCGCTTAACCAGGTTAAGGAATTCCCTTCAGTGTCATCAAAACGACGTATTCTTAATGGCTTTAGATTGATGCAAAATGGTACTCAAACAATGTGTTCTTTAGGAAAAGGAAGTATGATGTGTCTCTTTGGAACAAATTTAATAAAGATAATTTAGTTTTAAAAGTATCAGTTGTCTATTTTAATCTATATAAAATAATTAAAATTTACTAAAAATTTATATAGATAAATAAATATAGGTATTGATACTGATAGATAGACATTTATAAGAAAACCATACACTAAGTTGGATATTATAAGTATTAGCATAATAGAATTAATTGTTAAAAATATACATTAAGTTGGATACTTAGTTATTTAACTTTTTGTATTTCAATTATTTGAAAATAAATTATAAAATTACATATACAAATTGAAAATGAAGAGTTGTTAAATCTTACATTTTAATTAATTAGAAGGGTAGTTTAGTTTAAATAGGTAATTATTAGTGTGGGTAGTAGAAGAGGTTTTTGAATTTTTTAAAAATAACCCTCACTCGACATTCAACTTTATGCTCCGTTTTGTGTGAAGGAAGAAAAGAATAGATGTATGAGGCACTAGGGAATAAGAGATTACGTCATTCCCTAATTTAATTTTGTTTGGTTGGATGGAAGAAAATGAAATAATATCTTATTTTGTTTGTTACAAGAGAGGAAAGAGTATTAAATTATAAAGAAAATTTTATAATTTAAAAAATCTTAAATATTTGGAGGGATAGAAATTTGTGATTGATGACGGATGATTCATCTATCCTCTTTTCTCATCTCTTCCAACTCTAATAAAATTTGTTTATTCCTTTCTATCTTCCCAAAAGGTGCATTAATGTATTAAATGTTTTAAAAAATGCAAACTCTCACTGCCATTCAACTTTAAGATCAACAAAGTACATCATGAGTGGAAATAATAATTAAATCCATTAAATTCGGTTTATGGAAATCAGGCTATTTCTAGTTTTATCTTATGTTTTCCATGAATACTATTGAGGAAATTAAAATTTAGAACAAATAAAAGAAGACACGTCTTTTATGTGTAATGTGATGTTAGTTCCAATTCTACTTATCAAATATATATATGTGTGTGTGTGATGTTAGTTCCAATTGGTCTGCAACGAAGTTTTGATCAACAAAACAAGAGAAGGTATATAATTCCATAATAAATGTACGCTTATTTGGAGATTCAATTGTCACAAGTCTTGGTTTTTATTACTTTATTAAACAAGATGGTTTGAACCTTAATTAATTTTTTATTTTCTACTAAAATTTAATTACGAGAGAGATACATAAATATTCTCTTCTCCGTCTTAAATTATAATTATAGTTTTTTCATAGATGAGATGTGTCATTATGTGTGATGATATATATAGTACTATTAATTTTCTTCTATAAGAAAATGAGGTTGGATATTTTGAACGACTTTTTATTTTATTATTATTATTGTTGTTGTTGTTGTTTTCAAGATTGGTATACATTTGTACCAGCAATATGCATGCCCACTTAACCAAAAACTTCAAAAGATGGTACAAAATTTCAACAACACCATTAAGTCTTTAAAACTTATATTAGCAACTTATAAAAATAATTTAAAAACCAAATGTCATGTAGCCCCATGGCAAAAAGTGTGTATGAGTGTATATTTCTTGCCACTGTAAAATAAAATAAAATAAAATAAAAATTGATAAAAATAATAAAAATAAATTCAAGCATAATCATTTTCATTTGAGTTTAAAAATTAATATAATAGCCAGTAGTGTTACTTTCTTCAATAAAACTTTGATTATATTACTTTAGAGAGAGAGAGAAAAGAAAGAAAGAAAATCAAGGCTTGATTATGTGAAAAAATTAAAAATATAAATTGCTTGATTCAAATTAAGTTAATAAAGTAGACTTAAACATGAATAACATTTGACAATTAACTTTGTGCGCTCTCCACTTTCATTTCTTCAATAACATTTGATTATAACATTAAAAAAAAAAAAAAATCACGATGAAAAAATAAAAATTATTTAAATCAAATTAAATTAATAAAGTATAATTAAATATGTATGTCTTAACTAAAATAGATGGTTATATATATATATATATATTCTTATTTTTGCTAAGCGATCTTTGTAACGATCCAAATCCATGGATCCAAAACATCAATCGGGTCCTCACTCAAGGTCACACAAGGGTAATAGTCATTTCAAGATAAGTGAGAAGTGAGTTGACTCTAAATGAGTCAAGGGGTATCCATTTAGGTCATCACAACAATATAAACCCATTTCCTATGGTTCTATATGCAAAAACAATGTTTTCACATAATTAGCAATTTTCGATTTAAAAGATTTCTGAAGCAGTTCGAACTAAAATGGTCACAACTTCCTCTACATTTGGAATTTTTTAGTGAGGTTAGTATTATTGGAAAACTAACTCAAAATCATTGAATTTAGACTAAAATTTGACCCAATTTGGTTAAGAAATGAAGGAGATGTGACTATTTGAAGTTGGGTCAAGACAGTAGGTGACTAAAAGCGTTAGTCGATTGAAACTGAAGGATTGGACCGATCAAAATTGTGAATAAGGTTTACACAATTTTGACACATTTGTTGATGTATCGTGTTGATTGGACCGCACCGTATAATAATTTCTTGTAAGGCATGAGATAGAAGGGGTTTAACCAAAGTTCCATTTTTATTAGACTTTGATTTACTTGGATTATCCATGGCTTGCATTAATGGACCCCAAGATTCATATTGAATATGGAATCACATACAATCCCATTTACGAAATTTTGACACATTTATTGATGTATCAAGTGTTGATTGGATTGGGCCATATAATAATTTCTCACAAGGCTCGTAAAGGGGTTTAACCAAATTTCCATTTTTATTAGGCTTGGATTTATTTGGATTATCCATGACTTACATTAATGGACCTTAAGATTCATATTAAATACGGAATCACATATCCCATATAAATTCCACTCCATTTTGGGGTCATGCCTTTCCCTTTATCTTCTTATTTTGGTCATGAACATTGGTTGCTTCAAAATATGAAGTTTGGATCAGTTCAATTAATTGAAACATTATTATACAAAAGTTAAGGCAAAGAAGTACATGTTCTTACTCTTGATAGACTTTACCCATTGCAGTAGCCAAACAAAACTGTCATTCTCAAGATGCCCTCAAAATCCAACCAACACCTAGACCAACAAACTCTTTAATAATCGACCTTTTTTGCAATTCCCTAATATGATTTAAGAGGGGAAAAAAAATATACTAATAAAAATGTAATTGCAAAATGCGACTTCCACCTAATTTCAAGGACGTAAATCAACAGAGAGGTTTTTTATTATTATTTTTTTTTCTTCTACTTTTTTTAATAAAATTGTTTTTTTTTTTTTTTAATTAATCCTAAGTGTCGGAAATGCATGACCCTTTAAGACCCCTCAATAACCCGACTAATTCCAAAAAATCCAAATAATTGCCTCCCCACCCGAGTCAAGTAAGGCACCGTAAGGACTGTAGAAGCTAGCCACCAAAAACACCGAGCGAGAACTTAAACCCCAGATCTAGGGCTTTTGAAGCCGTCCTGATATCCGAAGCGGCTTTTTAAGAAGTTGAAATATTTGTTCATTTGGAATTTTCTCATATCAAGGGGTGTAAAAATCAAAATCTATGCTCAAGCCAGAGTTAAATACAAACCCGCATAAAATTTCAAATTCACGCATGACATAATTATGACAGGTCGTGCTTATCCACTTTCCCAGCCTGTCCATTTTTTTTTTTTTTTTTTTTTTTTCTCTCATCCTTTATCACTTTTTGTTACGAACTCCAATGGACAACAGTCAAATTTGTCAGGAAAAAAAAAATAATACAGTAATAATAATAAAAAGAAAATGAAAAAAACACACACACACACACAGCCCTCGAAAGATTCCTGCATCGTGCACTTTTGTCATACGTGTGGCATCACATCTTCTTTAGATCCCGTGTGTGTCCTTTCCTGTCAACTCTCTCCACTCCCCTCTGCTACAGTAGTACAGTCTTTAACACATACATATATAGAAATATATATATATATACATGTACATATAGAGAGAGTTGTGGCATCACTCACTCACATGGGTGTTGGTGGACTGGTCCCACACAACCTGGCATTAGATAAATAAATAGGACCCACAAACAGTGCCAAGCACACATGTGACAATGTGACCTTTCTTTCCCTCCCCTCCATAAAAGCCACACAAAAAAAGAAAGAAGAAAAACACACACATACACAGTCACACAGACCCCACATTATAATAAAGGAGCAACTGCAACAAGGAGACAAAGTACTTTAAAAATATAAAAAGGCACAGCACATTAAAGAGAGAGAGGGACCGCCAATTAGATTGAAACACTATTTTCGTTTCTCAAATTTTTCTAAATTTATCTCTTTCTGTCTATTAATTCTAAAGCTTGATGCTGTGTATAAACATTAACAACAACAACAGCAAACAACTTATAATGGTAGAAAATATTCTTTCTTTCTTTTTGTACCTGAAACTGCTGAGGTGAGCTGACTGACTACTCTTTTACCTTCCCCCCTCTCTTTCCTCTTTCCCTCCCCCCCCTTCAGACCTTTAAACACCAAACACTTCCCTTTTGAGGCACCAAATCAGCCTTGTAGTTACACAACATTTCACATCTTCTCTTTCCTCTTCTTGATCTCTTCTTGTTTCCGCTTCTGCTGTACACATATTCATTTAATTTTGCTTTCCTACCAACAGACACTAATAAACAAACAAACTACATATGGGCTCCTGTTTGGCTACTGGGAAAGCCATGAAATAATTCCATGAATGGTGGGTGAGAAAGGGGAAGAAAATTGCCGCTGCTGCCCCATCAGTTTACTACTACTACAGCTACTACTACACATTGATTGTTTGATTTTCTTTTTGACTTTTTCTTTTTGTTCCTGTGGTTCAACTTCTACTACAGAATATGAGATGGAAAATAGTACCAAACAAAGAAAGAAATGGCTGACCCACTCCTTTTACTGCCTTTTTACGTATCATTTGTATTTTAGTAAGTAGTATTGCATTTGATGATGATGGTAGTGATGCTAGTAGTTGAGGTGGTGGTGGTGGTGGTGGTGATTTTTCTACAGATCTGAACTTGGTTTTGGTTATACTTTCTCAATCTTCTTCCTGTAAAATACAACACAAAAACAGCCAAAACAGAGCAACCACCCATTAAAAAAAGGCAAAAACCCTAAATGTTGGTTATGTGAAGAAGCAAACAAAAACAAAAGGGGATTAAGATTGAAACAATTTTAATCACTTACCTATGCTAAGGAAGCTAAAGTTCGGCCGGGTAATGCCGGCCATGGCCTACATTTCAATGGCCCCTTGTCCAGAAGAGAATCTGTAGCAAAAGTTCAAAAGCTTATAGCTAAATTGCATATATATATATATTGATACTTGTATAGAACAATGAATGGTATATATATATATATATATATATGAAATGATAAGTAATACCTGGGAACTTGGAAATAACATGATTTGAAGGAATTAGCCATGTCCAGTGTAGAAGTAGCAGGAAGTAAGGATGAAGTGATCAAATTACCGTTAGCAGCCGATATCACCGGAAACACAGCACTCTCTTCGGCTTCGCTGGCAGCGTTGGAGAAGGCGGTCATGTAGTCTCCGGGAGCCTTCGGAGATGCAAAAGGACTATCGGGGAGGTTGTGCTCCAAGCTGCACTCAAAACACAACAGTGTTAAAAGACATTATAGAATGAATCCAAAAAAGCTGAAAAATTAAGACACATTTAAGTAAAAACATGATTTTTCTGTAGTTTCATACCTTTCTTGTATATCACTTTCTTCATGATGGGGGCTTTCTTTGCCATTGTCACTCCCATCATTGCCAGATGAAGATGAATCCTTTTCTTTCTCAGTCACATTTGCACTCTGCTGATCAGCCATAGCAGTGCTAGAGTTTGTAATTACTGGACTTGAACCATTCTCTGCAGCAAAACAATGATACTACTTAATTACCAACTCTTTCACTTCAAGTTCAGATTTTGGGTACTCAATAATGCAAATGAGATATATACCTTCTATGATTTCTGGGCTGCTACGATCTGGCGGAAGAACCAGAGTCTGATTGAAGAAATTCGGGGACTGCGTAGGGGACGGAATGGCACCTCCGGTGGAAAGTGTTCGATGATGATTTTGCCGCTTTACATCAAGAAGTTGCAGACCCATCAGTCTTCGGCCTTGGAGTTCAATGGCTTGCTGCAAATCAGCTTGCTCCTCCAGTTTCCTCTTCCACAACATTTGCTGGGTGTTGTAAAACATCCTTGCTCCTGAATTAGGAGAAAAATACATAAATATTTGCGATACAACATTTACAGGTTATACAATTTAATTTACTGGATTATATATGACCATCAATGTATGAAACAACGGACACATTGACCATGTTTGCTTACCCAGCTGGAAATCATAAGGGTCTCTTGAATCTAAGCCAGTAGGGCTACCACACGCCGAAAACTCTCCCCTCTCCATCTGCTGCTTCCTGTAATTCCCCATGAATATTAGCAAAAACACCGAGATTTTCCAAGTCAATGTTAGAGAGAGAGAGAGAAAGAGTGCCTGTACTTGTCAGGGACCTTCCCCTTCTCCTTGTATGGCTTGACGAGCACCCGAGCATCGCATACAAAATGGGGGTTCCCTTTGGCAAGAATGATCTTCACAGTCTCCGGGTAGACAAAGGTAACAAACCCAAACATCCTTTTCTGCTGGTATGGAATCCTCACATCTTGCACAGGTCCATAATTGCTTCAAGAACAAAATTGAAACAATTTAGATACCAACCAAACAAGATATAATAATTATAATCTCAGGCCAAAGGTCCAAACTTTATTTAGAACACAAACCAGACACCTGAAATAATTGGACACATCTTCTTCTCTGAATGTGCTATCAGCTGGGAAAGTCAAGTAAATCTGTCTAGAACTAGAGTTCATCATTCCCACCCCACCATTCATTGAAAAATCATTTCTTTCGAGTCGGGATCGCCCGAATTTGTGCATATCTTCACCCATTATCATTGCTGCAGCCGCCCTACAACATATAACAAACACAATCACACCAAAATCATGCCAAAATGATAATCAGAGAGAGATATAGATATTTATTTATATATGTGATACCTTTGACTGTCACTTTGTTGTTGCTGGAGCAGAAAATTCATGCATTTGTTGGAGGAAGATGGTGAATAGGGGAAGGAAGACGAACCCATGAGCTGAGAAGCAGCAGCAAACCTTTGTTGGTGGGCTGATTTAGATCTGAGAAGCTCTTGACACTGCTCCATCATCTCGAGCTTACTCGGCGAGCCAACCATGGAGGCACCATCTGGGTCAGCGAGGTTGTCATGGAGGAACCTACAACTGTTTCCATTCTTACAGTAGCCTCTAGCAAAGTAGAGGCAAGGCTTCCACCCAAATCCACCAGATGGGTCATCAGATCCCAAGCAAATATCGCTAACTGAGCAGCTCCGGCGGTGGGGAAGGCCTCCCCAGTTAGCTGCACCGCCGTATGAAGGGAAGAGCTCGCCGCCGTTCCCGGGGCTGGAGGCTAAATCCGGCTGTGGGTAGTACAAATCGGAGCTTTTCGGGCCGAGAGTCGGCGAGCCATCATTGAGGAAGGAAAGCTGGTCTTGGAGTTGAAATTCGTCAATCAGATCAGTCCCTCCACTTCCGTAGAAAGGTGAAGCAGAAGAGTTCATCGACGCCGACGAAGTCGCTCCGACTGGTATGCTATTGATTGTGTTACTCGAAGCAGCTACGAAGGTTGAAGATGAGCTTGGACTGATTAAATCTTCTGGGTTCGGGAAATCAGAAAAAGCAGCCCAATTCGGGGAAGAAGATGGGTTTGGGATAGAAAGAGGGGACGGAAGATTAATTCCACCGCCACGACCACCACCACCGGGGAGCCAAGAGGGAACCGGAGAGGAAGAAGAATTCTGGCGGGAAAGAGAGATCGGGTTGTTGTTGGAAAGAAACGGCGACGGAGACGACGGAGTGGAGGGTGTGGAAGGAGTGTTCGACGAAAGTCCCAACTCCTTCCGAGCTTTGAGAATCACCGAGTGAACAAGAGCTTCAGGGCCAAAAGCCAAGCGAATCATTTCCTTCTCACCATGGTCTTGGATTAGAAGAAGACCCATGATTTTTGAGGCATTTTCAGGGTCCAAATTTTGGATCCTTGAGAAAACAATCCTTGTTGCTTCATATGCATCCATGTCAGGGTTGGTAGTAGATTCCACTCCAACCCTCCAACCCTTTTGTTTTTGTTCCAACTATTTGCTCTCTTTCTCTCTCTTTTGAGTAACACAAAGGCTTTACCTACCTACCCACCAGATTGTGTTGATCAGAAGTAGAGTAGTTCAGTAAGCTAGCTTCTTTCTTTCTCTTGTTCCTGCAGAGATAACCCAAATGGAAAAGAAAAGAAAAGAAAATAAAGAAAAAAAGAAAAAAAAAAAGAAAAGAAAAGAAAAGAAAAGGAAATGTTAAAAAGGAGTATTCTCGTGGGGGTAATGAAAAGGAGAGGATGGTGAAGGTTCCCTTTGTTCAAAGGAAAATATGGTGGTTGAATTTCTCAATAAAGAAAACTGAAAACTATAGTTGCAGCAAAAGAAACAGATGATAGAAGAAAACAAAGAAATAGAGAGGTCATTCCATTTTTCTTTCTCTGTGTGTCTATCTTTTCTTCCTCACTTTTTTCCAAACTATACTAAAATAGAAGAAAGACTTGCTCTCTGTGCTCTAAAAAGAGTACGGCTTACCCATGAAATCTTTAGTCTGACGATGTGATCAGCCCATTCATGTCTCTCTTGTTTCTCTCTTTCATTTAAACACTAACTAGTAATCAAAAGTTACTACAAAAGCCAAACCACCGCCTTCTTTCTATGCAGGTTGCAGAAATTGGCAGTAGGCAGCAGAAGCAGAGACCATCAATTGCTCTCCTCTGCTGCTGTGCTGTGTTGTGTTGCTCTCCAAATTCAAAAAACCTCCTACCTCTCTCTCACCTTTGTTTTCTGGGGTTGTGGGTGAGTGGACAGTGAAGCTGAACTTTCTCTCTCTACGCTCCCTATTCTCTCTCCTTTGAATATAAAAGAACGACTGGCAAGAGTGACAGGAGGAGAGAGAGAAAGAGAGAGTGTGGGTGCTTGAGTGGATCCAGATCTGTTTCAAGAAAATAGTGCACGTTCTCTTGCCCTAACCTCTGACACTACTCTCCATTTCTCATTTCTTTCCCTACTGAGGAAGAGGGCTTTCCTACTTGCAGATATGGAGCGTGAAGTCACTCTCCAATGACATTCGTGTTTGGGACTTGGAAGTTGAACCTTGGATTCTATCAGGGTCTCATCATGCATAGTATTGATTCAAAAAGTTGGAAATCAATTCGGTTGAAAGTAAATTTTATGTGACCACAAGAGTTGAGATTAACTCAACAGAAAGTGACCCAATTCAGTTGTATGTAAAGAAAATTGAGAATGAGATAAATCCAATAGACAAACTAGAATGAGAACTGGCTACAAATGAACCGAATTGTGCATCAATAATAATTTCAGATGAAACTCAGTTTCTAAATTTGTTTAATAGATAAATTAATCTCGAATAGTATTAGGTCCGGCTGCATAAAATCGTAAACATAAGTTTGTTTATGCTTGTGAATATAAATTTATTTTGAACTCATTTATGTTAATGAACCACGAGTTTGTTATAAGTTTCATTCATATATATATATATATATATATATATATATATATATATATAATTTTATTTTATTAGAATTTTTTAATCTTTAAAATGTATGAAATAAAAATAAAATAATTTATTAAAGTAGTCTGGCTAGTTTGAACTTATTTCAATTCGATTTGTTTTTTCAAAAAAGTTGAGTCTGAATTTTTTAAAATACGACTAACTTGAGCTTGAGTCGGAGCTTAATTTTTAAACTCATCACAATTTTGAGTTAAAGCTTAAAACAAATAAATTCGATCAATTTAAGGGCCCGGCTCGGTTAGTGTGTGACACGGATAGCAGGTGATCTCAGTCCCCGGGTCAATTTAAAATGCACAGCCTTCAATTACATTTGTAGCCCTAATAGCAGGTGGTCTCAGTCCCCCAATCAATTTAAAATGCACAGCCTTCATTGTAATTGAGAGGACCCTTGTGTGTTTGAAAGTTGTGGTACCCACTGAACTGTCTCTCACTGATGATTTAGTAGTAGGATTTGTTATCAGCTGGTTCATGTGTGCTTTGGGAGAGAGAGTCAATGGCCTCCAATCACCTTCTATTAAATAAGAAGTCCTACCATCCCTCCCATTGCTAGCTACTAAAAAAGAAAAGAAAAAAAAGGAAAAAAAAAAAAAAAAAACAAAGAAAAATTATCCTTGCTTTTGCAATCTTTAAACACATCATTTGGGATAATTGGAGGGTCATGACCCCACCAACAAATGCTCCCTGTCTTTCTCTCTCTATACTTACATATATATATATATATACACACACACACATATGGGGACTCTATGCTTAAAATTATTGTCATTATGATGATGATTATTATTATGACAAAATAATGTGTAAAGGCTCTCTTATATATACATATTGGACAGAGAGATGGAGTAAACAATTATAAAATTATGGGGACTTGTATGGGAGGGCTTGGTTCTTGTATATCTATATATTTTTTTTGTTTGGAAAGCGTGGTTCTTATATTACTCCTCTATCACTTGTCGTTTTTAAGATGCCCCCACCCAAATATATAAATATATATATATATACATACTCGTAGGACTAAATAATTCAGCAATCTCTTTCTTTATACATCTACATGGACTACTCATAAAAAATTAAAAATAGGCTACTCAAACCTCATAATAGTTTACAGCGCAGAGTTCAATTACTTTTTCTTCACTTTTTAAGCTTTTTTCATTAAAGACAACTTATCACATTTATATCATAATTATGGCATGTAAACTTCCAATTAAAATTAACATTTAATATTTTTTATAATATATTATTACACATTTTGTGAATTTATTTTTTTAATCAAAAAGTTTTAATTAAATTGGACCACCAAGTGGTAGAGATTTAGAGCCCTCGAGTATTTTTTGAATAAAATAATAAAATAGGCGTTGTGTGTTTTGAAGGAAGGAAATATTATAGTATAGTTTGTGATTTAGATGAACATTGTTTAATTATTTTACTTTTAACAACCATTCTAAAGTTTTAAAACATAAATGATTTGATTTAGATAACAATCCCAACGATTTTAAAAAATTTAGATTAAAATTGAACCAAATGCAATTATTTATTTATTTTTTACAAGACAAGAAAGGTTGGAAGTTAGATTAATAGATGTAAAGAATCGAAGCCGGGCACTCCCAACATCCACCGAAAACACTAACCATTAAGTTATCGAGGCATCTGCAAACGCAATTATGAAAAGCTAATTAAGAGCTACTCATAATCCACCAATTGACCTTTGTACAAATAATTTTTGAAGTCCAACTCGAAAAGAAAGAAAAATAATAATTGAAACTTCAATGAGTACGAGGGATGGCTCCAAGGAAATTCAAAATCATGAGCTGATATAAACTCTCATTTTTTCAAATAGGAGGTTGAGGGATATAAGTTTTGTTGTGGGTATTTATGAGTATTTAACTAATTGGAAAGAAAAATAAAATAAAATATTTAATTTTTTAAAATTTCAATTTTATGCATTTACCAACACAACGGTATATGTATAATATTTGTTTGTGGTTTCCTTAGTCTAACTCGAGCATTTTGTACAATCATTTCTTCTTAATATTAAATTTTTAGTAAATAAAAAGAGTCAAAACATGACACTTCAAAATTTATTGAAGGTAGTATTCACTGAGCTATCGAGCATCTCCATTACTGAATTAATTACAAACTGATATTTGAAAGATGAAAAAGAAAAGTACTTACCACTTATGAGATGTGAAGCATAGTAAGCTTTTTCACATGGGCAGTGGATCGACACCATAACTTTTCTTCTTCCACCTATACGAATCCAGTGTTTGGACCCCACACACCATCTAACATCAGTTGGTGGACTGAGAATTCACCTCTCTTGTTTGGCGTTACAGAGAAGAGGAAAGAATAGTCCTTTTGATACTAAAAAGAAAGAGAAGGAATGTAACAACTTTCCTTCTCATTTCTAAATTAATAAGGAGAAAGGAAGGGAAAAGATAGTTTTTAGTCTAAAGGTGATTAAAATAATAAATATTTTATTATAAAAAGATAGAAAAAGTGAAAATACTTAATAAGATTTCTTTTTCCTTCATTTTGCACAAGACAAATTTAGTGTTGAAAGATCTTTTACGAAAATAGATTCTCTTTTTTCTTCGAGTAGTAATTTCAAGTCATTATTATCTGTTATGAATATGAAATGTCATCACTTTTGTTACTGCCCATAATTAAATTCGAATAAAATTAATGATGTCATATGATAAAAAGTTAGAAAATGGCTTGAAGATACTTAAATAGAAAACCCAATTGAAAGAATCTCTTCAACATTTTTTACTCTCTATTGAAAAATCTCAAAGGAGAAAAAATATTTAAAAAATGATATTAACATTCCAAAAATATTTGAGACTCTCTGTATTAATCCACAATGCAAATATTACATATAATTTTGAACGTTAATCTTTTCTTTCTTTTTTTTTTTTTCTTCTTTAACAATATATGGATTTCTGATGGAATGTACAAACTTTGTAGTGGGGGTGTAATTATAATTTGGCATGCACATGCAAATTGTACGTGGTGAACATACAAGAAGTCCAATGTTGGACTTCATGTGCAAATTGTACCTTATTGTCTCTCAGTTTTTAGGTCACGACAGTGCACATTCATACCAGTTTGTCATTCATTTCATCATTGTTGTTGGGCTGGCGATCGAGTAAAACAACGTTGGCATCAATCAAAGGTCTCGCGAAATAAATAGACAATCATGTTCGAGCATCCAACTCCATTTTAAGGTCCCAATTCAATTTGCTGTGCCAAATGTATCCCCAATTTAAATAGGGATAAGTGTAAAATTTTTATTCTCTATTTTAAAAAATGTGCAAAATACATCTCTAATATTTTCACATTGTGCAAAATATTCCATCTGACATAAATTAATGTTGTAATACCCGTTTTGTCCTTTTTACTCTTCCAAAAATGTTCAAGAAGGTATATATGTTATTAATCTCATAATATATGAGTATTATGTGCATATTACCCATTCCAGTTTACTCTTTTATGCTAAAATATTCTTTTCTTTATTTATTTATTTTTTCATACCAACACTATTAAGGAAAATATTAACTTGCCATAATGGTATTAAAAAACACCTTAAAATAAGAGAGGATATGTCTTATATATTTTTTATAAAGAGTCTTTGTTAGATTCTATTAATTTTTTGAAATGGCTAGCTAAAAAAAACCGATCAGGCATTGTAACATTACACTTAATTTAAATAATATATAAGTACAAGGGTCGTAAAAAAAAAAAAAATCAAAATATAGGAAAAAATAATAACATATCTAGCTACTCAAAATATGATGTATAAACCCTCAAAAAAAAAAAAAAATTTGTCAAACTATCTTCTTGTATCCTGAAAGTATTTACATGATTTTTGCCTTGTTCAACTTTGAAAAACAATAAAAATCAAAATCAAATTTAAGAGTGTTTCTACATGTGTTGAACAAATGTCCGGCTATGTCTCACGTGTGTTATAAACGTGCGTCAGATACAGTCGCGAGATCCGTAAAAAAAGTTACATATAAAGGTTAGTTTCGTCAATAATGATTTCCATGTACTCAACACCATAGATTACATGGAAGACTGCAAATTCAGTTAAATTTGCTGAGGGCCTACAAAATAATAATTCATGTATATATTAGTTAATTAATTAATGAATTAATGTATTTATTTGGTAAAGAGATCTATATGTTTTATACAAATACAAAGAATGTCTACTAAGGCAAGCAATTGTGTTCCCAGTGGTGCAACAGCATAAATGAAAAACAAAAAGGGAAATGATACCGTAATCTATGTCCACATCAATAGACTAATATCTGCATATAACGTGGTGTGTATAATAAAACTTCAATGGATGAGAATATATATCTATATTTGTGAAGAAGTTAGTGAACACAGACATCATACATAACATATATAACACTCGCCGCGGAGCACCAAAACTAATAAGTTC